GGTAAAGAGGAATAGAATCCAAGATGCCTTGGGTAAAATGTAGTATCTGCAAATTTATTATATAAATTTAGTAAATTCACCCAAAGTGTGATGATGAACTGGCAACAATGGGCAGTTGTAAAGTAATTCCGGCGGTTGCCCCGAGAAACGCGGTGCGGTAAACAGTCCAACCCGGCACGCCGCCATGCCAGATTAACATTGACAGACCTTCAGTTCTGCCCATTCCTTCCGCAGTCTGTGGCTCTGGGGAAGAATTCCTGGTGGTGGTGACTTGTTTTCTATTATTCTCTTTTTCACTTATCGTTATTATCTTTTATCTATCTGTATTGTTACGTCTTGCGGTTCGCCGTGCTTCCTCCGTTGTTGCTGTACTGTATGAGCAAAGGCTGGTCCCGAGTCTCAATTAACGCAGTAACGAAAAACAAATAGTGAGCGCGATGCCGGGAACATTGGCAGACGGCCCATCCGTCTCTCTATCTTGTATGCCCCCAGATATGATAACCCATAATAGATAAAACGCGAAGCTAACATTGGTGTCTCCCATAGTCGCGAATAATTTCTGGGGCAAAGATGACGCCGGAGTTCCCCCCATGCTCGATCGGATGCACAGCGCCAAGGTGACCTGCGATGAATTGAAAAACTTCTATACCCGTGCGTATACGTGGTGGTCCTGGTGGACGCTATCCTGGGAAACGTGACTGATGGAATTGATAGTTCGGGCTGCGATCGAGGACGAGTATTCGAGAAAGCTGCTTGCACTGTGCCGTAAATCGCTAGGTGCAGGTGAAACGGGCTCGCTCCGGTCTTCCTTGGATGTCGTTCGAACCGAGACAGAATCCATTGGGAAGGCACACGCTGCGATTGCGGGACAAATGAAACAAGAACTAGAGGAGCCCTTGACTGCTTTTGCCGGTGGGTCGAAGGAAAGAAGGAAGATTATTCAGAACGGCATCGAGCGTTTGCTCAAGACTAAGATTCAGCAAACGCAATTAGTAAACAAAGTGAGGCGAGGTTCTCTGTTTACTAGCGGCGACAATTCAAGTACTAATTCCACTGCAGACTCGGGATCGCTACGAACAGGATTGCCTGAGAATCAAGGGATACCTCGCACAGGGACACATGGTGATGGGTCAAGAGGAACGGAAGAACAAGGCGAAACTCGAGAAAACGCAAATCCAGCTCGCATCTAGCAGCAGCGAATACGAAGCCGCCGTGAAAATTCTCGAAGATACGACCGGACGGTGGAATAAAGAATGGAAGGCTGCCTGCGATGTGCGTGGACCTCAATACATGTCACATGTGAGGGAAATAATAGGCTAACGGTATCCTAGAAATTCCAAGACCTCGAGGAAGAGCGCCTTGACTTCGCTAAGAGCAGCCTGTGGACATATGCCAACATCGCATCTACAGTCTGCGTGAGCGACGATGCCGTATGTTACACCCGAGAACTTCAGCGGCGCCATACTAATTAGTCTCCAGTCGTGTGAAAAGATCCGTCTGGCCCTCGAGGACTGTGAAGTCGAAAGAGACATTGTTTCTTTCATTAAAGAAAGAGGAACCGGCCAGGAAATCCCTGACCCGCCGAAATTTATCAATTTCTGCCGAGGAGATATCAACGACACCAGTTCAGAGGCATCTGCTGAAGAGGATGGATACTCCGTCGCCCAGTTCCAGCGTACGATAAATCCTGCTTTCCGCAGTTCCTCTCCGCAGCCATCCACATATGAATCTCACCATGATCCTTCGGCCGAGATTGCGAACATGATGGGACAGATAGAGGCCCCACCCCAAACAAGCCGAGAAGCCTCTGTCACTCCGCAGAAGCCGACACAGCAACCTGCGCCGTTGGATCTCCGTCGCGGTGGCCAACCCCCGCCGAACTATGATCCTAATCAGCATGGCGAGATTGCAAAGGTGCCACACAATGCGTATCCGACAGACGGTATGACAATGTTCTGTCGCACCGGACCTCCTTCAGAGCGCAGTTCCGGAACGAATAGCGGCTACCGGCCATCGAGTCGAGACTCACAGAGTGAACTATCCAACCCTACCTCCATGTCCAGCCAGGAGCCACCAAGTGCGAGACAATCTTCAACGAAACCAACGAACGGCGTCGCGCTTCCGGGAACTAGTCCCGATAAACAGGTTCAGAAGAAGAGAAGTGCATTCTTTAGCAACAGTCCATTCCGTCGCAAGAGTCGTCATGACAAGGACCGCGGCTCTGGCCCGTCGCAGCCACCCTCTCGCGGTACATGGGATTCTTCATCGAAACACACCAGCCCGGTTAAAGCCGCTCCTCAGCAACAGCCCCAAGCTCAACCTCAGCAACAGCCGCCGCCGCAGCCACAGTTGCTAGCTCAATCACAGCCACAACCTCCAGCCGTGATGGGCCCGGGCGATCGAGCCCCCAGTCCCGAGCCTGTGGATCCGAGGGCGAACTTCCAGCTTAATGTTGGCAACAATGTTTTTGACGTGGCTTCTCCGGAGAAGAGAAAGAGCTTGCAGCAGAGCAAGAGTGCAGATGACGACCTTGACCCCATTGCTCGTGCATTGGCGGACTTGAAGACCTCTGGCAAATCACCATCGAGCCGCGTTTCTGCCGACAGATATCACGGTATAGCCAGCCCGGCTCCTTCTACCGCGGGAGCGCCCCCGGCCTACAATGACCCCTCGATGAAGCGCCTTGATGCACCTCAGCCGGCACACACGTCTGCGCAGATGCAGAGGACAACGCAGAAATACATTGGTCAAGGTCAGAACATGTACAGAAACCGCGGCAGCTCTCCAGGACCAGTTTCTCGGAACAGCGTACAGTCTCAAGATTCTGCTCGAGCCCGGTCTCCGACCCCACGGCGGAGCGCCAGTCCCAATGTGTCTCCGCGTGTTGACACCCGTATGACACAGTACAACAGGGGTACCAGTCCTAGCCCGAGCACTCACCAGTCGAGCAGCGTGAGAAGCCGTTATAGCCAGTCACCTAGTGTTGCCACGCCGCCACAGCGACCCGGTGATGCGGCCTATTCTCCTCGCGAGTACGCTCCGCGCTCGCCAAACATGGCACCACGCGCTGTCTCACCCCAGCCTCAGTATAGACAGCAATCCCGACCTTCTAGTGCTGGTGGCATGGAGTTACAGCTGTCTCGTGGTGACATGTACGGCGGCGGCAGCGGCCGTGAAGCATACAGTGCCCGTGGACGGGACACTGCAAGGCCGATCTCGTACTATGGAGATGTAGCGAGCACTGGTCGCTCCAGAAGTAGGACTCTGGCTGCTGCTGAACCTGGAAGGCAGTTTAGCCGGGACGGACGTCCAATCCTGCACTTTGGTAAGCCATCAGACCCCACGTATTTTCCCTCGTCTTATTGACTCTATCGACAGCCCGTGCAATGTACAGTTACGCCGCAGCGATACCCGAGGAACTGGGCTTCACCAAGGGAGACGTTCTTTCCGTGCTCCGACTTCAGGATGACGGCTGGTGGGAAGCTGAAATCGCGTCCGCGCCCCGACGTACCGGCTTGGTTCCAAGCAACTATTTGCAAATCATCTAGATACCCATCTAACGAACAGCCACGATTTTTGCAAACGATCTTTAGCAGATGCTTTCCTATGCGCGTGTTGGTTTCTTGTGTCTTTTTTGTCGTCTTGTCAATGTTATGTGTACCCATGTCCCCTCATGACATTTTACTTGATTAATTCCCAGTCTACATACACACTATTTCCTATTGAAATAATTATCTTGATCCCACTGTCGCTCTTGGTTAAATTTTTTTGTCTACCCCTCCCCCGTTTTGTCCTGCTTTTTGCTCTCCATTTTTTATGTCGTCATCATGGTCACTCCTGAACTGTTCTATTCTGTCAGTGCTTCTGAAATTTATCATAAAGAGAAAAGAAAAAAAAAAAAAAAAAAAAAAAAAAAAAAAGGGGAAAAAAGAAAAAGAAAAAAAAAGGCTATCAAATCAAATCTCGTTCATTACAAAGGCTCTATGTCAATGTTTCCAGTTAGCAACCTGTACTTAGTCTGGATAATGCAATCTAATTCCTCGTGTTGATATATATATTTCAAAGCCTAGGCACGGAATTTGGACGGAGAAATAATATTTTTCCCTTGCTTGTGCTGCTGTTGTACAACACGTGTATCTAGGCGCTCCAGGGTTTGCTCTGACTCGTTAGCAACTATTATACCACGAAAAGGGAGAGTGAGGATTTACCATAGAAGGGTTCACTAGCGGATAACTTTCCGCACGATTTCCAAAAGATCGATTCGGCCGCAATAACGACTCCCCAAGTGACCATTTCGGCCCCAGAATCACAAACCGTGCTTGTCTTATCCCCTTAAAGCAGGTGCCGGTTATATGCTCTCTCGCTGAGAAACCAGCCGCTGGCGCGCGGAGAAAGAATATGTCTTGCTCAGCTACCCCCTGGATATTGTACCAGCCTTATATTCGGCCTTGCTAGTTTCCTGCACTAACTTGCGTATGTCGTTGTCAGTAAAAGGTAAAGGTTATCCTTCGTTGCGCCAGCAGGGGCAGGGCCCAATGAGGAGAGGAACAATCCAAGGACATCATGAAGTATTGTGTCTCGTTATAGATGCATGGCAGCACCTTGAACTTTTGAGGTATTGGCAGGTCGTGGCTTCTTGCTCCAACTTTCATTTAACGTCCGCCAGATATTCTGGTCCTGCTCCAGTCCGAGTGCTTGATACTCAGCCCCAGACGGAAAACTATTGAGGTACCACTGACAGAAAAGCTGTCTTCTCCTCAGTTCTTCTATTATCTCTCGTAGTTCAGTCAAGTCTCCTATCTCCCCATATTTGCTAGGGTTATCAAGGGCAAATACCTTTCATGGCGAGGCCAATCATAAGCTTATTATATGCCAGGGATTCCCTCATGCGCGTGGCCATTTCATATTGTAGCGTAATTTATGTCTTAACACCCGCCAAGTCAAACTTGAATCCGAAAAGATCAGGGATCTGCGCATGGAATATGTATGAAGTGACACGCCTTGAAAAGCACAACCCTTGCCAGAAATATAAATACATAAAGCGAAGCACAATGAAAAACCGTCCTATAAAGAGAAACCAATCATACTCCATACACCATGCTGAAGAGAAAGTGAAAGCGAGAAACCACAAATAACAACCCCGGAATCTACAACCATACGCAACCATGGTCCAGAGAATCTAACCCGCTCTTCCACATCCTTCCACCATACACATAAAACCTGCCGGCGAGTCCAGTGTCCGGACAGTTGCGTAGATACAATAGGGCTCCGTATAAGCGTGGAATCCATGGTGTTGGATCGCGGTCGAAGCACCAGCACTGTTCACAATGCTATCATTACTATCATAGTTACTACTCGCGGCGGTAGGGTTCGCGGTAGTGGTAGTAGTGGTTATGGTTGTGACAGTAGTAGTGGTGGTAGTCGTCGCGGCGCTGGTGCTCATTCTCGTGCTCGTGCTCGTGCTCGTGGTAGTAGTGGTATGCGAAAGATTGGAATTCGAATCGCTAATAGGCATTGCCAGGTTGTGGCCAGCTTTGGCGAAGCGACAGGAGAGAGAGACGTGGTCGTTGCGATGGCCGCAGGTGTTTATCACGCGCTGAACGTGGCACATCTTGCCAGTTTTGGCTCGAAGCTGCGATGTCTCGGATAAGTTCATGCAGATGACAGATGCGGATCAGGGAGAATGAAAATGTACCTCGACTAGAAACAGAAGGAAGGCTGGCTGCTTTTGTGTATGAAACAGACCACCACCTTTGTAGGATGTGTAGAGTAAAGCGGAAATTGAAGCTCAAGATATCGTCTAAGATGACAATAAGAAGCACTGAGATATAAAGAAGCAAAGAAGGTGATTGTTTTCATATTGAAAGTGAGTCAATCTACAGGATTTCTCTTTGGTCAAAAGGGAACAAAAAATGACAGGTATCGATGCTTCATGTTAAACATCCATTCATTCTTCATTTTGATTAGTATTCCACGTCTATAGGAAAAGAAACTCTGTGATAAAAGGGCCAGCCATGAATTGAAATAGAAAAGACGATATAGACAAAGCAGATGGACTTCAGTATAACGGCACTGTACAATTGAACTTTCATTGCATGGGTATCTAGATAGTATGCTGTCGCGCAGGTAATGGGCATTTCATTCATCGTCAACGAAGGAATTCGCAAGACGACCGAAAACTGGGACTTCAAAATGCTCGAGTGTGTCCACTAAAGGCAGTCAGTAAGCAACATTCATGAGCTTCATCTCTGCAGGACAAACGTACCATCTCTATATGCGCGTAGACTCAGGAATGCAATCAAAGCGAGGTCGCAGATAAATAGAAGCCATGAGAGAAAGCTCGAGAACGATAAGATTAGATGGAAGATAAAGATGGCCGTGAAGAGCATACTCGATTGCCACGCATGGAACCTGCAGCAGTCAGTCAATTGGTTTCTCTCGATAGAGTTCTATCATATTTTCCAACAACATACCGAACGTAATCGCTCTTGTGCTCAAACACCAACAGAAAGACACCTCCCGCCGGAGGTAGAAGCAGATATGCCAGCATCGCTTCATAATCCATCCGTATCGGGAGACTTGTGTCGAATGCCCCTAAATTTAATCGCCCTCCTTCGACATCTGGCCCAAGTCCTCCTGTGTTCCCAAGACCACCGCTCTGTGTTGTATATTGCCCTTCGTTGGCAAAGTGACTGGGTGATGGTAGAGGACCCGCGACGCGAGGTGATTGAGGAGACCGGAGATGGTTATTCGGAGGGGGAGAAAGGGCCCGCTCGACTTCGGGCGATTCGTCTTGATACGGCGCGAAATCCATGGTGTCTGCGATAGAAAAACGATACTGGCGCAATTGAATGAGTCGTGTCCAATCGATAGCTGTGGTGGTGGTTGGAGATGGTTATCGCGTTGTCCGCGTGTTGTCTTGGCACATGATCTGATCTATACCGGATATCGTCTTTTTGTATTTACTGGCATTTTGATCTCGTTCTAAAATAATATATCATACAATAAAACATTTGCTCGTCACTCGTAATCAACAGCTCAACCCCGACTTCTGCCACGCGCAGTTCCAATGCCCCTCCCCAGATTCCCACTGATAGGCCGTCGTGTCGTCATGGTAGATCCGGTCGTAGACCCTCGAGTAGCAGCAGCAGTCCTCGACGCGCTCGAACCAGTACTGGAGTATGAGACACTGGGAGTTCTACCCAAGCCCGTGCTGCGTACTCGTCCCCGACTAGTAGTCGTGGTTCCACGCGTGCTTCTAGTGGTTGGTTGTGCCCGCTTTCTTGCATCTTCTTCTGCTCTTCGAGTAGCGGCTTCTCGCTGCCTCTGAAGCTCCTGTTCGCGTCTTTCGGCTGCTTGTTGTTTTATGATCGCTTCGTTTTCCATGTCGGCCGCATCTTGGGTCGCTCCTTGCCAGTTCGGGTTGAGGATCAATCGCTGGTTATGCTCGGTCTGGGAAAGGATTCGGGTCCAGGTGTTAAGCAGGGTTGCTGCGGAACTGACGGTTCGAGAAACGGTCTATTGTTTGTCACAAGCATTTGTTAGCTTTCATAATTTCGAGTTCATATCCAGGGTGGTGTAGCATACATCCATATTCCCTTTGGCCTGGTCAAGGCTAGAAAGAAGACCTTCGATCACGTCGTTGATATTCCGGACACTCTGTAGCTCATTTTGCAAAGCTGCCTCACGCGATCCCTGACGGTCAAACATGGTCCCTCCATCATCGAGGAAGGGTCTGGGTTCTGGCGTCGGGCTACCATGGTCACGCGGAATCTTTGGATTCACGTTCTTGTTCCCCCGTTTGGAGGGAGAGTCCCAGAGATCCTCCGTATCCTCATCGGAAAGCTGGAGCTTATCCATCTCCTCTGCAGCACTGCGGAACGCCATTGTTCTCGGAGAATAAGGTGTATTCTGATGCGCGCGAAGAGGGGCAGAAAACGGCGTAAACAAATTGAGGCGGCGGAGTCCGTCAACCCCACGGTCAGCAATCAATCAACTCAAATTGAAGATCGACCAATCCAAAACACACGATAACTCTTCGCGAAATTCAGTGGAAATGGACTGTTCAAGAGTAACCAATTGTAGACATAGCAGGGCAACCAGAAAGACGAGGCTAGCCACAAGGCGGCGGCCATGGCGACCCCTGATTGGCTCAGCCACATTCTTTAATGGCGGTGGCTGGTCGACGTCAGGCACTGCACTGCAACGTTGTCAGGCCCTTGTTAGTCTCTCTCTCTCTCCCTCTCTCATCTTCACTTTTTCATTGCTTCGGTGATTGATTTTTACTATCTCAATTGCTACTGTTTGCTTTTGCTTCCGCTTCACTACCACGTTGATACGTGTTTCTTTGTTCTTTTGACTTGTACTCATTGTCTGCTTCACAGTCGGGCGCTGTGAGATCTCTCGCGCGCGCGTTTTTCTCCCCTTTCAACCGGTCGCTTATCCATTATCACTCGTCTTATCCACGACTACGATAAACGATCATCTTGTTACTTTATCATCTTTTTCAATACTGGAGTTAACAAATTGCATACGCTTGGATTTGAAAAGAAAATCGAGTACTGGGTCGATTTCGCGAGGTGCACGTTTGGAACGCACAGAAACGCGCATATATACACACACGCCGCCATGACAACCACGCCTCCGCCGCCATCCACGCTTCGAGTCCCTCCTAGTCCGCGATTTGGAGCTGGATATGATCAATATTCGCCATATGCCACACGGCATTCGGTCAGATTAGCCAGCCAGCGTGTCTCTCGAGACTCTACTCCGCCGCCCCGGTTTCCGGCTTTGCAGGTTGATGGGACAAAAAGCGCAAAGGAAGAGCAGAACAATCACGATGCTTTGGAGGCTTTGTCACCTCCAGGGTCCATTCACGGCTCTCCCCGCAAAAAGCCTTCGGCTGGGAGTCAGACCCTCGGTCTGACGCATTCACTGGAGGACGAGGACGATAACACTTCGACTCTCGCAGACCCTTTCGCTTCGCAACATCCTCATTCTCAGCTTCAAGCCACAAGAACCAACGGAATGTTGCCTACACCTGCCAAAACACCCAGAAAGAAGGCTGTTGCTGATATGGGGCCCACTGCAAGAACTCTCTTTCCGCCCATTTCGCGTCCCAAGAAAAGCAGGAAGCACACTGGCTTCTCCCTCGACAGCTTCAATGACGACACTGCCCAAAATCAGACTCAGATTCAAATCTACACCGATTCTCGTGATCGAATCCCAGATGTTGCCCAGAGCGAGGAGAGCCTGTTCTACAAGCCACCTAAAGAAACCAAGACGGCTCAGACTCCTAGAAATCCCCCTCCTGCACCCTCGAAAAAACCCAAGGCAGTCGAGGCCAAGCAGGTGAAGGAACTCAAACGCGACAAGGAAATTGACGACGCCGTCAAACGTGAGGATGGCATGTTCTACGTGTTGTAAGTTACTTCTTATATCTTTTTTGTGTTTTAGGTTACTAACAAACTGCTGCAGTCGAGGAAAGAAAATGTTCCGCAAATTTGCCGACCCCGTCGAAAGTGATGTGGAAGACGATGACGACGATTTGGGTCTGCTTGCCTCTCGACCAGACCTTCTCGATTCCTCGTTGACCAGCAGGGTCCGACCGTTGACTCGCTCTTCGATCAAGCCCCGCGTTCTCTTCCCGAGCGCGAAGGACAACACTCCCCAGCCAGATCCTGCAAATGAGGTTGACGAAGAGGCGGCTACCGATATCGAGGACCACGCCAAAGACACCGATGATGCCGCGACAGACGTCGAGACGCAGCAACGGTCAGCCACTCCCCCGCCCAAGTCAAATGAAGAAACACCATCTCCTGGTCGCTCTCTACGCCCTCGTGCCAAACGTGAAGATGCCGCCCACGAGACCACGCCTGCGTTCTCTGAGCCCAAGAGGAAGCGCGTCAGTCCGTTTGACGGTTGGTTACGGAAGAAACCTACTCCTGCCGCTGCAGCTCCCAAGAGCAAGAAACGAGACCATGAAGCCGTTGGCAGCCCTGGTGGCCCGTCGACCAAGAAGACAAGAGCCAGCAGAGCGGCTGTTTCGTCCTCTTGAGTTGATCAACATGTGTGATCCAAATGTTGAACGCAAGCATAATTATCTTCTTCCTTCTTTTTATTTCAACTTTTAACCACCTATCGGTCATGGCGATTTCGAATTCGTTTTTTCGTGCGGAGTACCAGAACAAGGAGTTTTTCAGGCCTTAAGGATACAGATTCCCTACCTTTCTTCGTTCCATTGTCTTTTTGCTCTTTTCTTGTCGTTCGGTTATGCGTTTCGAGGTCTTGCATGTATGCTTGTTTGTTGGTGTTTGTTTTATCCAATGGATGGAATAAGGGATTATGGGGATTGGATGGTATATCACAGGAATCGGTTTTGTTTCTTTTTTCCTTCGCTTGCAATGGTTTTTACTCGAGAGGAAGGCTTTAGGCATGGTTTGTTTTAGTCATTCTTACTCAGGTCGTTCAAATTAGGTTAGATATCCCAATGAACATGGATGAAATTGTCCATCAACTTCGTCTATAGAGATAAATCCATTAAAATAGTTCACTGTAGTGGTTATAAATTAGTCGTTTTCGTCCATTTCCTGCTCACTCTCTTCTTCAGTGTTCTACATTCTGCGTTCAACTTGCAGCTGTGCAGAACTCATAGATAAGTGGCCTCCTCGCATCCTGGGAGATTAACGTCTCAGACAAAAAGACACCTCATCGTTATCCAACCTCATTCTGTAAAGTACCTCGTCAGGCAAAATGATACAACAATGTTGATCGAACTTCGCCGAGATTTTCAAATGCTTCCTCAATCGTCGACGATTGTTCCTGGCAAAAGCAACAAGACAACCACCTCCATGGTCGAACTGTACCTGATTAGCATATTGAGATTATCCTGTTTGTTTCTTCTGTTCAACAGCCAACTGCGTAAACCAATCTGTTATTGGCGTTAGATTCATGTCGAGGATTTGCATCTCAACCATTGCATGTCTCTTCTGGCGTTCATTTTCTACTGTCACTTCTGACCAGACCTTCGGAAAAAGAGTATCGTAGTACCCTCCTAGACGTACCAGGCGCACTGATACATGTATGGCCGTATCCTCCACACTCCGAGTTGTCGACACCATCCCCTGAACATCTCGGTCAGCTGTAAGTAGAACGACCTCTTGGTCGCTCCTGGTAGGCTGCCAGTGAGTGAAGAGTGGAATAACCCAAGTATCTCGAAAAGGTTAAAATATTTGGCGCTCTTGTCTTAGTAGAACTTTGTAGTTTCTGGAGGCGGTGATACGAGCTTCTGATGCCTCTGGGGGTATGTTGATCTGGCTCAAGGCCAGGTGTCCCGCTATAATAGAATAAAGTCGCTGTGATTACCTTTGTGGTTTTGGGAAAGTAAGTGAGCGACTATAGTTGCTCACGAGCGGATGCCTCCTACGGCATTGAGCATGTTAAGTAAGGCCTTTGAACCTTTCCGGTTAAACTCCTGGTGAATTTTATAAATCAGACGTTGTCTAGGTCAGCCTTTATCTTGTTTCCGACTGTTTCATGAGCCGTTCGTTGCCCAAATTTTTCGCTGAAGCGGAAATAAAGGAATCCGTTCGGCTGGTCGTCAAGGTGAGTTCCTTATGATCGATGTCCTTAGCTGAGAATGAAACTGTATATAAAACGGAGTATGAGACTTACTCTTCATTTCAGTTTGTTATTCCTCATTTACGAAAACAGGTGGCATCTTGGGACTATGGTCATACATATCTAGTTCGTCGCGTCCCACATTCGATTTTTTTGTGCAGGCCTTGAATTGCACCGCAATACTTCATGCAATCTCTCTTGAAGCCGCTTTGGTCAGAAGTGCCCTTTTGTCCTTCCTCTGCTTTGCACTGGCTCCCATGACTCTCGGGATGATCGTTCTCGCGTACTTCGTTCCAGGAGGTCCCTTGTACCCTAATCAACCCGAGAAATAGAAGCTTCTGCCCTTTGGGACCAACTCTCCGTACTCGCTGAGCCTTCGGACAATACCTTCAAATTGTCAATCATAAACTTCTCAGTGCTTGTCCTTGTCATGGACGTCTTCCTCTATATTTTTCTCTGTCGTTTGAGGACTATCGGTTCTTCTTGAGTGAGTTGAACTCATCAGGGAGGTCCACAATCTTATCGTCCCAACTGCTCGTTGATATTCTACGCAGCTTATGCTGCGTGTAGCCCCGAAGCTAATCGAGGCTCGGTCTCTAAGGACCTTGTCTTTCCCCAAAATGTCAGACACCGTCAAAGGCAACGGGCTTATAGTCAGCGTCATTCTATGAACGCTGCGTTATTCCCCGAGCTTTTTTTTTTTTTTTTGCCCGTGTGGACTCAGTGGCGTTTTTATTAGGTCATTGGTATAGTCATGGATATGTATTCAGTACCTAGAGGAGACGAGATAGCTCGATTGTGCTCGATACTTCGAATCAATATGAGGTGAGGCTGAATGTATATGAAGAGACATGGACCTTGATGATGGATGGGAGGAGATGGTGACAGTAGAAGGAAGTAGAGGGAGATATATGTACAAAGTGAATGCCTGTCTTTAAGCCTTGTTATTCTTTGATCCTTAGTATAACTAAGGTTTTATGTACATTGAGAGGTGAATGTGGTCCATAGACCTACCCAGGTAACCCCATCTTCTTTGTAGCATTCAAGGTTCCAGGGTCTTTTGGATACACTACTTCAAAGAATTTCCATCATGATCTTCATGGATTGATTTATCTTGCCTATACAGCTAAGTGATTGGAAGATAAGTATAGAACCTTTTGCACTCCTGATGCAGCGAAGACAGAAACTGAGATAAGAACCAGAAGACAAAATTAGGCTAAAAAGAATGGGTATATTGCAAATGATCTAGACCTAGACGATATCCAACTCATCATCGTCATCATCTTCATCATTATTGCTAGCCTTGGCCAACGCATCTGACGGCCCCGCAAGACTATCCCGACCAGCCTCCCTAATCCCCTTGGTAGTAATAAACCGCGTCTTCTTAACACCACTACCATGCGGTTTATCATTAGCCCGTTTCAGCGGACTCAACTTGACAGTACTCGCCTTCCGAAAACCGGTCAAGCCAAGAGTGGCCGCAGCGCTGGAAGTTGATGGCGTCGATGGTTTGAGATTCTCCTGGTTCTTATCAGGCGTGTCGGTTCGAGCTCGTAGATACTCCGCGCCGACTCCGCCGTCGTTATTAGTGATGAGTTTCTGTGCAATGTCTCGTTCGCGTTGCTGGTTTGCTAAACGCTTGCGGAGACGTTCTTCCTTGCTCTCCGAACCACGGCCCATCATGCCTGCGGCGATGAATGGGTCCTCGTCATCTGCATCGATCAGACGCGCTGCTGATTGACCAACAGGGCCTGGGTAGAAAGAACTACCACCGCCACCGCCGCCTGTCTTCCGCCCTGGTGCGACGTAGTAAACTGACTGAGAGCCCCAGTCATAACGAGCACCATCTGGCTTCAATCCATTCTGGTTGTTGTTTGGTCTCTTGCTGCCGCCAAAGAAGCCAGTTCGTTGACCTGAACGTCCGCCTGGCCCGAGCATGCCTGTTCCGTTGTTCACGCCCATTCGTCCGGCTTGTGTACGGCGAACTTGGAGGTCGACGTGGAACTCGCAGAACTCTGTCTTACGACCGTCTACCCAGGATTGACAGGGGTTGCCGTCCTTCTTGACAGCTTTGCAGTAGGCTATATCCTTTGCGAACCCAATCTCCAGGACTTTGTCATCAGATGAGGTAATCGACAAACTGAATCGATTGGTATCAATTTTGCCTTTCGGGGGCGGCATAATATTAGGGTTTAGAATAGCAATGAGGGCACCTTCAGAAAGTCGGTAGTATCGTGGGAAAGCCGTGTCGAAAAGGAAAAGATCGATTGACCACGTCAGGTCAGTGAGGGTTATGGCCATGTACCTCTTGGTATTATTCAGACCGTCATCGAATGGATCAGCATCCTTTGTAACAGGTACGGTTCCTTTGATCTCTTTTGGCTCTGATTTTGAGGCAACTATGCCAAACACAACCCAATCGCTGTCAATGTCTTCGGGTAGTTGGAAGTCTGGGGCCCTGATTATTCGGAGGAGGTCAGGAATGCGGAGGACTTTCTTATTTGAAAGGTTTCGGGTTAAGAAGGAGTGAGGTAGAATACGGTTCGATAGATGTAGTTTCGAGTAGGGTTCGAATTTGGACGAGTCAGGTGTCTTTTCCAAAGCGGTTTCTTCGTCTGCGGTAGTATCCTGAGAGCTATGAGGTCGAGCGGATTCTATTTCCGATTTGTTGCTTCGTCTGTGAAGGTAAGGCCCGGTTTGGTTCGCGATGGCGCTTTCCCTGCTAGGAGCAGTTTGACTTCGTTTCCGACCCGAAGGTTGGAGACCATTGTATGACCGCAGAACGTCGTCGCGACTAAAGCTTTCTGCTGGTCGACTTCTCGTGGGTGATTTTGGCGGAGCATCGGTCCTTGTCTCAGCCGCCGCGGCTTTGAAACTCTCCACCTCTGCCTTGTCAAATTGGAACCCAGAGCTTCGATTGGCTTGAATCCTCTCAGCCCGTTCTGACTTTTCCATTCGGGCCTTCTCTACATTCCTGCTCTCCGCTATTCGTTCGCTGAAGCTCTTTGGCCGTTTGACACTATCACTCGACGCGGACGACTGCGGTCGTGATCCAAAGTCGGATCCAGTACGCGACACAGCACCGTCTCGAGCCCCAAACCTGCTTGTCGGACGGCTGCCAGTCTTCGCGCTGGATGGTCGCTTCAAGGAAACGTCGTGGCCCTTGAGACCCTTGTCAATTCCGAGAACGACTCGTCGCGGCGATGCGGGTTCCGTTGGAGCAACAGGGCGTCTTGTAGGCGACAATGGGACCTGCACATCATCCAATTGCGACTTACTTCTCGGTGGCGGAGGAGACATCGCCCCGAGTCTTGAAGTCCGGTCTTGGGATCGCGCCGACGCTGGTCGAGGAAGCGCATCGTCATCGTCGGACGGTTTCCCCCTGCTCTTCTGAAGTTGTTTGAGTTTCAGGCGCGCCTCAATAGCAGCAAGTTTCAATTGTAGCACCTCCTCGTCCTCCTCTTCCTCTTCGTTGTCGCTCATGCCGTCGGCTAAGAGTCGATTCGCTTTGGATTTGGAGGTCGGGGTAGCAGCGACGGGGCGTTTAGAGGGCGAGGCTAGAGCTTGTCGACGGCGCTGCAACTCTTCAAAACGTTTTCGACCGTTCGGTGAGCTCAGAAGAGCGTCTTTCGGGGATTTCGGGGGCCACGAGATCTCGGGCACTGTAACGGGTTCTATGTCAGTAACGGCCTCGTGGGCGTGCGATTCCAGGGATGTCCTCACTGTTGCTCATGACGACTCAAACCGAATAGATAGTTTCGATGGCTGATAATAGGATGGATAAAGAAATAGTCCGTGGGAACTACCTGCAGCCAGAACTGCTCGTGATTTTATGCCTGACCAACTGTAGCCATGTTCATGGGCAGGGATTGCGGGGTGTAAATTCACTAATTCGTAACACAAGATCGTCCTCAAAGAATAATAATAACACCTGCGCCCAAGTAGCCAGACGCTAGGAGTATGCAGATATTCTTGGTGAGTTCGTCGAGGATGCGCCTTTTCTTTGCCGCAGCAAGGCACAGGGCAATAATTTCCACCTCAGGCATTATTAGCCCGACATCTGTGATTGGCTGCGGAGAGGCAAGCGCGTCGCGTCGGAGTTATGACACGTGATGCTACAATCTCCGACGCGTCCTCCATTTTAACTCCTTCCAGATAGACAACCTGACAGATTGACCGTTGCTGGTGCCATTGGCTATTGAAGTAATCTTCAACAATACACATCGTCGGAACAAGGCATTGTTATACACAGCGACAGAATGCGCACTCGATCTACAGCTCCGTCGTCGAAAACGAAAAAGACCGAGTCGAGCCAGAACCAGCCGACGCCCAAGACCCTGACGCCAGCAGAACGACCCAGCAAGACCTTCATCCTTCCTACCTCCGCGAGCGATGATTCCAGATTCGTTTCTCTTCCGGACCCGCGAACAGGCGCTCTGAGTCGCTACTTCTTCTGTCCGGAAAAGGGCGTATACGAATTCACCGTGGTCGCGCCATCGCCGCAGCAAGCACGAAGCATCTTATTTACATCTAAACCGAACAATGCGCCAAATAGCAAGGGGGACACAGCACCCGTGACATCAGGGGGGAAAGGAAGTGTTGCTAAAGTGGCGGAATTGCTGGTTGCGACACCAATTGATTTCGTGTTTTTCATGGTTCCTCTACTTTGTCCATCAGAATCGACCCACGCGAAGAAACTGTTCCAGCCCCTTGACGACATTATCGACTCGCAGGACGAGCTACCAAAACATTTTCACTATGTACTCTACAACGACACATTTAGAGAGGCGCTCAATGCACGAGTCGAGGCGATTTGCGACACGGTTGAAGCAGGCGACGAGAAAATGTTCCGGTTCAGTGAGACCAAGTTCCTCAAGGAATTGATCTCCAAAGCAGAGCGCATGGTGGCACAGGGACTTCCTGCAAGTTTGGAAGAGCGATTCATTCGTCAAGCCCTGGTTACGCCCATGATGGCCGTTAAGCGAGAGAACCCTACCGGCGCAACCCCTAGCAACAATGAAGGTGAAGGGGAATCCCAACCCGAAAAGCAAGAATCACAATCAGCCACTCCCGGAGCTACAAGTTCAGACTCTATTGTCCCCTCCGGCACCGGCGAAACCAGCGAGTCAACCCCCGCTACCGAGCCCACACCAACCCCAGACGAATCCACCGCCCCCGATAACGTAACCCGCCTCCTCCGCATCTCCACAGCCCTAGCATTCATGAAAGAATCTTACATCCCCCCATCCCTCTGCGCCCGTCTCGACGAAATCCTCGCCTCCTCCGAGAGTCCCCTAGACTTCAAACCACTCCAAGAACGACTAGAGCACATCGCTAAGCTCCGCGCGGAAGCACTAGCTTCGCGATCCCTCGGAGACTTCAGTCGCAAGCGTGGAACCGAGGATGAAGATGCCGCTGAGGCACGCGCGGAGAAGAGACGCAAGGAGGAAGATGAAAAGAAGAAGAAATCGGCAACGCTGTCGCGGGGTGTTAAGGACTTGCAGAAGGTCAATACGAGCGGGATGAAGAAGATGAGTGACTTCTTTGGGAAGCCTGCGGCTAAGAAGAAGTCTTGAGAGGGTTTGTTGGGTGTCTGATGGGGGAATATAATTGAAGTATGCGTGCATGGGCATGACATCTTGCGGGCTTTGGAACTACCAATCTATTTCCAGAAGCGATCTGGTTAGGGGGATTGATTCAGTAACCCTATCCGTTCTTCGGAAGTTCTTCGAGGGGCGTACGCACGTCCGTCAAACAGTGTTCAGGTGAAACTGTTCGAAATACCCAAACTCCAGTGTCACGACATCTAGATTTGGCCCGATTGATGACCTGTCGGGCACATGACAGGCGTGCAAACTGTGGAAATGATACTCGGCGAACGAAGACAGAAATGGCTGTGTGTGTGTCCTGGTATTCAAGTCTATAGTAAATGGATTAGGCACAGCCAGCATTTGGTTCATTATCCCATATCTTTGTTCATATCCTTTAAGCGTCAACCTGGGCAATTGCAGCCCCAGTAATCCTGTAGAGATGCTGTTAGTCTGCAACTCATGTAGGAAAGGGGAAGGTATAGGATCATACATGAACGAGCCGTTTGACGGCTTGCTAATAACCATTGCTTGTGCCAATTTCTCCTCGCTAATGTCAGGGAAATTCTTCAGGTAGTATTCCTCCTTCAGAGCCTTGGTCACAGCCTCAACCTTGGACTGCGGCAGCATGTGGACGGTGCATCCACCCCACCCGGCACCAGTGAGACGGCTACCCAAGGTACCTGCGCGGCGCGCAATAGCACAGATATCGTCAACCTCGGGAGCACTGCACTCGTAGGTAGTGCGGCAGGAGTCCTGGGACTCGTTCAGGAGCTGGCCAAGGTAGTCAATGCGCTGAGAGTCGAGGGTGGAGGATTGAGCCAGACAGGCCTTGAAGTCGAGAACACGGCGGGCTTCCTTGAAGCAGTGCAGGGCACGCTGGCGGAGGAGGAAACGCTCTGCCTGGACGGGGAATGCGGACAGGAACTTAGACTCGAGCTCGCCGACGGTGATGCCCAGGAGTTTTGCAATCTCTTCCCGAGTATACCCTTGCTCTTGGGGCAGGAGTTCCAGGGTTGTTTGGATGACGGAGTCGATCTGGGATTCAAGAGGGTCGCTGAGGCGGCCCTCCTTGCGCATGAACTCATGGTGGAAGTTTCGCAGACTGTATCCCAGAGAGCTGTTGTCCTTCTGGAGGGTCAGGCCGTGTTGCGCGGCCAGCACGACGGCGGCGAGTGTGCATTCAGCCACACGCAGGTTGTAGTGACGGGGTGCGGTTTCGGCCTTGTTGGAAGTGACGAAGCTTTGTGCCATGAGAAAGGTAATCTCCTCGTCGGCCTTGGGGACGGGAACATGTTGGACGTCGAATGTAGGGAAGAACTGGGTGTAGAGCAGGTATCCTCGGCGGGAGAAGATGGAAGCAGCCTGGTCCATACTGTTGCTCTGTTAGTCGGGTGCAAATCAAAGCAGATAATAATCTCAACCTACCCTCCGGAGTAAACGCCAACCGAGCGCTCCGAGACCACAGCGAGATCAAGAAGGTCCTGCTTCGAGACATCGTGGTTGTTCGCCTTCATGACTGCAAGCGCACTAGCGCAGACGAAAGCTGCACTACTCGAGATACCACCGCCAGGAGGCACATTACCATCGACAAGAACCTCGACACTGGCGGGGGCAAATGAAGACCGCTCCTTGCGCAAGAACTTCAACGCACCCGACAACCCAGCCTTGAAGTAGTTCACCCACTCGTGCTTCTTAGGGTCAATCTCGATATCGGTATCGCGCGGCACAGTAAACTCGCGCGTGGGGAACTTGTCCGGCTGCACATTCGCAATCTTCACGGTCGACTCTCTGGACGTCGGAACGACCTTGACGGCGATAATCACGTCAACGCTGACGGCTGTGGGAAGGACATCGTACAGGTTGTAGTCGATATGTTCTCCGATAATGTTCACGCGACCCGGGCTCCGGGCCACGAAATCGGGCCATTGACCGTAAGATTTGGTGAACTGGGAAACCAGGCCGTTGAAGCGCGCCTGGTGCTCTGGGGCAACTGCCTGGGAAGAGGCATCGTCGGTTGCGTAGACCTCAGCAATCGACTCCGTTTGAGGGACAAGTTCCTGCGGGGCCATGGCGGGGTAGCTGTTCTAGAGGATGAAGACGGAAATGAAGGGAATGAAGAGTAGTAGGAGAGAATTTACTGAAATGAAAGAATCAAGAAGAGGGAAGGAGGGCAGTGATACTAATACAATCAGTCTGTAAATTAATTTGAAGGGTTTTCACGAGGATATGGAGAATAACCCGCACTCTCTTCCAATGGCGGGGAAAGCACCGCAAAACACGGGGTCCCGTGGCACCGGCGAATACCCCGTTCTCGGCTGCCCGTATGTACTATGACATTCGACAGGCTCCCGATGTCCCCGGAGGAGCCGAACCCAGGACTCTACGAGTGCAGATTCGGATAATGAATAACATTTTTTTAGCAAGTATATTCTCAATTCTCTATAACCTATCTTCTCACAATTTACACACAATTTACTCTCAATAATGATAATATGACGTTGAGCGGAAACATCCGCCGATTCAGTAAGACATGTTTGGTACTTATAGCGCTGATGAGAAGATTATGGCATCAATGGCAAGATGGCCGAGCGGTCTAAGGCGGTGGACTCAAGCGACAAGCTTGACCAGGTTTACCTGGCTACGATAAAGTGCAATAGCACCTTTATTCCACTCTCGCAAGGGGCGTGGGTTCGAATCCCACTCTTGTCATATCTTTTTTTTTGTTTATTTTTTTTTTTCCAGACCTTCCCCACACACTCTGATTGGGGCGCGAGACGGAAGTATGAGTCTTGGCGATGCAAAAAGCAATGGTGACAGCCATTGCATTTTACTTTTGATACGACATCACTTCCTGCATTGCAGACATGCCTTGGCCTATTGCTACTTATCTTAGCTCACATGTCTTAAGGGTACTCTGTAAGAACTGATGTCGAGTGAGCAGCCACGAGAGGGAAACGTGATCTCAAAAGAATATTCTTCTATTTCGAGCTTTATTCCAACCATTCCATGAATCAAGAACGATAACTATGGATGCTTTGAGTATGTCAAATGGCGAGAATGGAGCGTAGCATTGTTGTGTATATACTCCGTATTGTGGGGACATATGGACGGGTGGACTTGGCAGCGATCGAAGATCGAATATGAATCAGAGAGTTCGAGATGCCAACAGCTGGATTATACGACGGCAGCTACTACATACTAGCCTGTCACATGCTGCTGTTAATGGATTATGGCAATGGCCCGAACATTCAACTCGAGGGCTACGGTGAGCATGCTCGACTCTAGTATTGCAATATTTGCCTCATGCCACCATCATGTGTCCGAGAATATATCGGTGGTGATACAATTGACTTCGACGTCGAATTCCTTTTCAACCCCTCGAATAAAAATAGATAAAGACATAGACAAAGCAAAAAAGCAGCATTATACAGAAAAAAAAAAAAAAAAAAAAAAAAAAAAAAAAAAAAAAAATAGTTAAAAATCTAT